TCCGGCCACATTTCCCAAGCCTGCCAGTACCACGGGCAGGTGCCAGGTTAACGGGTGCTTGGGCACGATGTGACCCAAAAAAACACTGCTGTTGAAAATATTGCTATGAAATATTTAAAGGTTACTAACGCCAGGATGTCGCTATTCCTGGTGCGGCATTGAGATGGCAGCTTCGAAGCTGCAGCTCAATGCCGCACCAGGAATAGTGACACCCTTGGATGGAAGTTCCCAGCCTATGCGCACTCCTTTGCTTGAAGATTGGCAGCTTGTGACAAAAAAGGCGTGTTCCATGAAACTACTTAAATCCAAAAATTCAAAAATTCTTTGATTGAATTCTGGCAGCGTTTGACCTAATTAGGTTCTTGAAGTAGTTTTCGATCAAAACCATGTTCGCTGGGGACAACATGAGCTTTATGACATAATGCCATGCAGTTCATGGACGTTCGTGATTGATGACGGTCCTTGAGGGTTGAGTAGGTGGATGGGTGGTTGTGAGGGTAGAAAAAATCTGTAGCATCAAAGTTGTGTCGTGGTTGGTGTCGCCTTTGGGCAAGGAAAGCTCGGCTCGAACTTGGAAACAGGATTGGTTTTTACGCTTATCGCATTTGCGTTTTGTGCTTCAAGCAGTTTTTACGCTTTAACACAAGAAAACAGTAAAATAAATAAATGTGTAAATGACAAAAGGAGGTCCTCAGTGAGATATCTTGACAAAATCGGGTCCTGTGTAACAAAAGGGGGTCCTTTGCGGGGTGCATTTGACAAAAGGGGGTCCTCTGACCGCCCCCGTTACATTAGCCCCGTTGCAAGACCGGTGCTAGACAGGTGCCAGTCGGCAAGCAGGTCCTACTAGGGGCGACCCCGCAGAGGACCGCCTTTTGTCAAATGCACCCCCGCAGAGGACCCACTTTTGTCACAGATGACCCCCTTTGTTCAAGATATCTCACAGAGGACCCCCTTTTGTCATTTTCCCTAAGTAAATATACCAACGTGTACATAAGGACAGTACACACAGACTTGGGGAGTCCGAGGATGGCAGCCAGACGCGCTGGAATGGGTAGAAAACGAACTTTTGTGCCATGCCGTCGTTGCCCGTGCCGAGGGCGAGGTGTGCATTGTGTTGCGGGGGCTGGAGCTGGCGGAAGACGGATCATTGTACGCGACTTGCATCGTGCAATCTGGGCGTTCCAACGAGTCGCGAAAACACAAAAGTAGACGAAAGTAACCCTTTTGCAAATTTGCGTTTTTTGCGCATAAAATGCAGAAGCAAAAATGTAAACGCAAACTTAAACCTAAGCGTAAAAACCAGGCCTGCTGTCATACCCATGAACATGAGCGGACTCCCTATCACCGACAGCCCCTGCTTGTGAGCAAACTCAAAGTACGATATCGCACCACGCAAATTTTCATGCAATGGCGTTTTCCTTATGAACTTGTTGGTGCTTTGGGTGGTGCTTCGTTCCGGCCCCTAAACCTACGGTGGACTTTGCCTTTTAGTATTCTTCAAGGAAGTCACAGAAATATCCGACGTTTTTTGGAGATCCGGCCCAACTGCCTTGGCCTTAGAATAAAACCAGATACACTTCAACTTTTTTCTAGAAGAATATGTGTACACTATTGTTTAATAGGCAATATGCATTTGAGAATCTCTAATGCAAGTTGTTTCTCTGATGCGCAAGTGCATGCGTTTTGGTTTTCTGGCTGTTTACAAGACCTTGAATGCCACCGATGGTCAATGCATGTACAAAAGCAACAACTGGCGCTATATAAGCAAAGAAAACTGAATACAGCCATATTTTCATTGATATCCTCAAACCGATGAGCTGGTGCATTTATCTCCATGCCGCATTATGAACTGTTAACCACGCCACAGCTCCATGTACCTCATATTCCATATCACAAAGGCTTTCATCGCCGGGGTTACTTCAGTAGTAAATAAGTTCTTGACCAGTGATCTTGGCGTCTCAACAGACCTCGACATCAAGACTTCAACTGATCTCTTGGATCGTATTCAAACACAACCTGTGGACCAGAATGCCCAAGCTGCCAATAAAACAGCCCAGCCAAAAATGTATTTCGGCCCCAAGTGCTTCCCAGAGTGTCTGATGCATCCAAAACGCTCTCCCGCGTCTCCAAAATCAGGAGTTCGTTGACCGGTCGTTGATCACATGATGCCATCGCTGATTTTGCAGGCTGGGGCATACCAACCAGGTGGCGCAGCCATCGCTGGCAGCGGACAGCGGTGTTGAAAGGCGCAGCTTCGTACATCACCAAAGATTGCCACACAAGCCTTGCCGCTGCGCGGGCAAAACACCGACACACTGCGACTTTTATTTACGTCGACGCCAAGGGCAGCCACACGGTTAGTATGAAATTAACTTAGGCTTCCTCATGTACGGCTGCATTGGCCGGCACAATGCTTTTAGCACGCATGATGTGCAACACAGTGCGAATCAATAGCGAAACTCAACATGCCCTGGACAACAATGACTTGGGCCTGGTGGCCGAAGGTGCAAGCACACACACTAGTGAAATTGGACATTTATGGGACGCAAGTTGGCAATAAATGACTCTTACTCACTAGCAAAAAAGTACCAAATAACACTATTTCGAACACGCACAAAACACGTTTCATCAAAATTCTGCATGCTAAGAACACAAAAATAACCCAAACCCGTGAAGCTTGTACACGTATGAATACGTGTTATTTGTCCCTTTTTTTCCTAGTGACTGGGACGGGAGGGCTGGAGGGAGGGAGGGAATGGTACCGATGGATGTGATGCCTTGCACGATGGAGCGAATTGCAGAATTTTTGATAGAATCGGGGCGTGCAAAATCCGCACAGTCGCCAGGGAGCCGCGTGGCGCGTCTTGACACCAGCAAGCATTGCCATTTTGCTGGATTTGCTTCCTGGGGGATTTTTATGGAAGCATGCATGTGATGTGTGGCTGCCTGCCCACTGCCGAGCAGGCTTGTTATTTACGTGCACAGTTACGTTTATGTTTATGCTACCGCCTGCGCTACCGCCTGCGCTACCGCTTACGTTTGTGTTATGGGTTTGCGGTTTTACTTTTCACCTTTTACATTTACGTTTACTTTTTTACGTTTACGCTTTACGTTTTCATGCAACAAAATGTGGATTTGCAAGAGGCTATCTTTGCAGCCACATTTGCGCCTTGGTGGACACACGAAAATCACGTACAATGATCAGTCCTCTGCCCCTGGATAATATGGAACATAGCGCCCAACTCGCCCTCCGCAAGGGCAACGGGGTTGTCGAACAAAAGCTCGTTTCCTGATCACTCTAGCGCGTCTGGCTGCCACTCCGCAGACTCCACAAGTCTGTGTGTATACTCTTGATGTACATATTGCTGTAGTTACATTATATTTACGTATGTTCACGACCTTTTTTGCGCAAAAACAAAAAAGTATTGCTAAGCATATAGACGTCATACAATCAGTTTTTACGATATAAATGACAAGCATGCTGTCGGGTGCTCAAAAGGGAACATTGCTGTGATGGAATCCGCGTTCTAAAGGCCTATTCTCAAGCTTTTCATCCGTTGCTGCGTTCAAATATTGTGACAGATTCGTTGCGGATTATTCATCGATATGCTTATGTAATATTCGTATAACTGATGCTAATGCTGCAGATTTGAACTTCCCACATCCCATGAATTGGTTGACATTGGAAGACAAGCGTTTTGATACCGATTGGTGGCCTCACATGCTCGACGCTGGACTAAAGGCACTCAAACACGGCCTAAACAAGGCTGCATCCTCGCAGTACTGGGGCTTGTACATTTGCTTGTCCGGTTCCAATTTCGATCACAACTTTTCTTGCCCACGTCAGCACCAGACACGACCAGTTTTCATCCTATCTCACAACCATCGGCTTTCCTATTTGTAGACAGGCATCCATCTCACCGAAATACCGCCATCAAGCTGCTCATTCAAATGCCAGCTCACCGCATACCCATTTGCAAAACACGCCATCGACGTCCTTTCATTTAGAAGCGTAATCGAGGTAGGGGACACGGACTTTCACCATCAATAATCAACAAAGGTGGTGAAACAAAAGCACGAAGAGAGAATCCCGGCCTTCAACATCTTTCCACCACTCAGACGCAACATTTCTGACTACTGAGACCATTCATATGGCTAATTGCAAGCCCTAATCGTACTTGCAAAGCAAAATAAGCAAGAAGAACAAAGCACTGTAAAGTTGCGGAAACAATACAGCCACAACTTCCCTCAGTTTTTTTTTCGACAAGATAACCTGAAAAATGCATTTTTTGATGAAATGCGCAAGGTTTTTCCATAGGAACACATGCTGTCTCGTACAACAAGAGTGTGATTGAAACGGCATCCCAAGAGCTAGCAGCTCAAATGTAACCTGCGTAACAACGAAGCTCATGAATATTCTCAAAAATTTTCGTATTGGCCGTCAACTAAGGCGATTCCATGCAAACGCAAATGCGCCTTGAAAGTAGAGCAATCGCAAGCCATTGAACATAACTGATCCTCCATGTGAAACGGTGGCCATTATGTGGCTATGCGAACATATGGCCAATTACAATTGGGAAGATTGGCCGGGAGGGCCAATCCCCCCAGACCGTCCTACCACCGGCGACCAGCGCCGATTACAACTGTGGAAAGATGGATATTCTGGAAGAGTGACCTGAGATGACCATTTGGGTGGGCGCCACACCACCACAGATTTTGAATGCCGGTTTGAAAACCTTGGGCGGGCGTGACTGTCGCGCCATGACATTGCCTCGTATTCCACGTTCTGAATGGCACATTTGCATTAGGCGTCCTTCTGGATGAGTGACTTACATGAATGGGCGAGCGATTCTATTGGGACAGTGTTCGCAATCCCTCCACCCCAGCTTCCCTCCGGCTTCTCGCCATCCCCTTCTCCCACTCTCCACAGCACCGCACCAAGAAAACAAGCCGGGGGAGCAAGATTTCCGAAAACCGGCAGCCCTCACCCCGGCGCCATGGCCACGATCTCGGGCGTGGAAGAGGTGTCCCCCGGTTTCTTCAAAGTCCACGAAAGCATCGGCGGCCACGGCGGCGGCGGCTGGGACGACCGCGACTGGTTTGCCGACCAGGGCCTGGACATCCGAGACTACCGCGTGGCCAGCCTGATACTCGAGCCGGCCATCAATTGCACCGTGGCGCGGATCCGGCGCACCTACCGCAGGGCGGATGACCCGGATGACGAGGTGTCCCCGCCGGCCCGCGGATCCGGCGGTACGCACATCGGCGATCCCAACGGGGGCATGTTCGAGGTCCTCCTGGGGCGAGACGAGTTCATCACGGCCGTGGGGGGAGTGTCGGCGCGCGTGCGGTCATGCAGCCCGACGGGGAACTGTGTGGACAGGCTGGAGTTGCGGACCAGCGCGGGGCGGCACTTTGTGGTGGACGCGCTCACGGGGGGGTATCAAGGGGACAAGATGGGCCAGAAGAGCGAGCTGGCTCCGGCGGGGGGCTACGTGGTGGCGGGCTTCTGGGGCCGCAGCGGCTTCAGCGTCGACAGGCTGGGGCTCTACCTGGCGCCGCTGCGCTGGCGCGCCGCCGTCCATGGGGCGTTTCCCGCTGACTTCCGGAGCCAGGTGAGTTCTTCTTTCTTGTTCTCTTGAGGCAGCTGTCATCATCATCAATTTTTACAGAACAAGGCAACGAGGTAGCTGTCAACTTCCTATTTTGCGGCCCCTGCCATGGTCGTCGACGCGCTGCGGGCACCGGGTGCCGAGATTGTCCTCATTGTGTCCGATTGGTGATGTTGCAGTCCACTGCTGTTCATGATTTGCAGTGGAAATCCGCGGGCTTTGAGCCCTATTTTGGCAAGTTTGACTGGGATGGAAAAGGGGTGCCTGGGATCGGACGGCGCCTAACGTTCCATGGAAGTGGGTCACTTCTGTTTGTCACACCGTGCATCACTGACAAAAAAGCTGTTGGATTAAACATGGCTGGAGTAAAAGGATGTCATCATGCAGAATAGGCACACTCTTTGCAGCAAAAGATACGGAGCAGCTTCGCCTGAGTACGAAGCCTTCTGGACAAGGACTCCAGCGGAAACCTTTTCAGCAGGAAAAGACAGAAAATAATGCGATAAAGTACTAGGCCATTTACCATTCTTCGCCAAAGAATTCTTCTGTGCTTCCAAGAAGATTGGACTGACCTGGCATCTCGGCTTGCGAACATGTGCTGGTCGACTCATCCTCTTACTCTGTTCAAATTTGGCCACCTCGACCTTGTCTTGGATCATAAGCGAACACTCAGAAATGAGGGCATTTATTTTGGACAAGAAAGGAGGCCATGAAGGCGGCTCTGGAATGCAACACCAATTCCGGTACAAGACTAGAGTCAGCACTAAGTACACTACTAACTTCTAACCCAAGTACAGAGTACGGAGTTTGCGCCCACTTCGCCCAAAACGTTGTTATGTGTCATTGAGCAGCGACGCGCCAGTCTGAGTGTCCATGTCTCACGGCACATTATCATATTGCCTCGAATTGACATTGTGCACGACTGGAACACTGTGTGAAGCTGCTAATTGTAAAATTCGATCCACAAGTGCGAACAGTGATGTAGAGAGCATTCATATCCATCTGACCATGAAGTCATGTGCAATCAAAGTTATGCAATATCTCATTCCTATGCTATATCACTACTGCGCTGTATGATACGATGAGTTTTCCTGATGTGGACCATGTGTGAAACTGCTTAAATTGTGTTGCATACTTTGCAAAGCGCTGGATCCAATGCATTCTGGAATGGCACCAAGTCGTGCCATATTATGTTCAGATTTTTGTGTCTTGCACTTTGCAAACGAAACGGTCATCTTTGCTGGCAAAGCCTTTCGAAAAGAGCTAATTTTCATGAAGTACTTGGCTATAGCCAGTTGCATCCACCGTGCAATAGGCGATGCTTCACGCTAATCTGTTAGTGGTCTGGTGGCGTCACACATGTCCCTGTTGCGAGACCAGTACAGCAGCTGTATTGCCACTTACTCCCATGAGGCGTTCTAGCATTCGAAATGACTTGCTGCATTGTCAATTTGCTTTGTTTGTTTTGCTCGTTTGCCTTCCAGTACATAATATACAATATTATTAATTAATACTTCTTCTGTCCGGAATTAATTGTCCTCTATTTGAGAAACAAATTTCATTACAAAGAACATCTTAAATTTACAAAAGAACATCAGAATCGGAAAAATTGGGTTGCAAAACCCTTGAATACCAATTTTCAAGAAAAAAAGTTAGTCCCACCTCCCTGGTGGGACCCCAAAATTGGCCGAAATTTGTCCAAAAAATGTGCCTGCAGATTCCGCATCCGCTAGAGATCCGCACGTTTCTGGTCACTCCCATCCTTGGTGCGCCAAAGACAAGCCGTTGCCGCCTTTGCGGTGAAGGGCGTCCTCCCTTGCATGGAATAGCGCTTGCCAAACACACTCGAGCATGTCTGGATCGCCATCATGGAAGGCCATCATCGCAGTTTGGGCGATTTCTGAAATCTCGGCCATCGTCGATCTTTGATGTGCAGATGTAAAGCAAGCGGACAAGGCCAGGGTCCAAGGCGTTCAAGCTTGGGATATGTGCGAGCTATTGTTCCAAGGTTACTTAGTAGACCTGCGTGGACAATCTGCCTCGGTTGAGGCTTGAATCGTTGCTTTTGTGGGCAGCCTAGCTCACACCCCACAAACTGCTATGATCTGCCAACTCTTGCTTACGATCCACAATCCACCGCAGCCTAGCAAGTGCATTTCCCTTTGAGAGACACAGTTTTATCGAGCTAGTCTTCCCAAGCTCAAGCCCTTCAAATGATGAAAAATGGTCAATTCACCATTCGTCCAGGAGGGCCACTGCCTAAATTGCCCCCTAATTGTCCGCCGCTGAATGGGGTGATGGCCACCACCTTCCTAAAGTCTGCGAGGAACTTGGGAGGCCTCCTGCCGTATCCCTCGTAGTGGAGTTGGAGGTCCAAAAGTCATAATCTAGAAATCTGGACCCGATGGGCACCTCAGATTTGTCCAATCGAGCTTGAATTGCAGCCACAAGACACGACGACTTCCACGACCAGGACTTCCAAGACACATTTTCTGTTGCCCTTCTCCTTTGCAAGCATCTCCATGATCTTCTGTCCAAACGGCATGGGTAGTTTTGCCCGGGCGGCTCTGTAGCGCTGCCACAAAGGCGTGCTCCTTAAAACAGCGAAAATGGCCATTCCAACAAGGACGCTGAAAAACTGGTGGGTTTCTGGCAGGACGACCCTTGCTACAAAGTGCTGCCGAATCTGCAATACTCAATGGATTGACTTAAAATTTTGACTGCATACTCTTAAAGCATAGACGCAGCTTTGCAAAAAATCTGAATGAGAAATAAAGTATCTATGATGGAGAAGTGAGGCACCAAAGTCATAGATGATAATTGATTCTGGACGGAGGAAGTATTATTATTAATATAATCAGTATGCAACAGGCAATAATATTGGAAGGCAAAAAATCGTACATGCCAAATTTAAAGCATTCGATTTAGATTCCATTCGTCTCATTCTGTAGGTGCGAACATTGCTGCTGGCGCACAGGCGACTGCGGGATTGTGCACAGCAGGGCCACGACCCGTTGGTTATGGACATGGGAACGCTACCGATCGATGTGTTGCCACGCATAGTTGAGCGATTGGCAGAGATCTGGGTGGAGTCGCTGCGATGCCGAATCTGTACCATCACCAGGGAACCATCTGGCAGGAGGCCACATGGCGTTGGCGGTCCTTGACATGGAAGGCATTGCCCTGTTTCTGGAATTGGGTCCCTGTCAGTTGCTTTAAAGTCGTGTATGGTAGAAATGGCGGGTGCCCACACCAGCATGCTGTGCATTTGCACAACTTTTGTGATGGCAACGCACTTGTGGTGGTTTCAGGCACACTTCTCAATCTGTTAATCGACTATTAAGTCCAGACATAGTTGCCAATGGCTTTGTGGATGTTGGATGGATGCACGATCCTCGGGGATATCTAGACTCGTAAGCACATGGGTCTATGTGTTTGTTACGTAAGATGCGTATATTCTATGCATATGCAGCCGATGCGATCTTTCCGAACGCCATGAATTTGTCGCATCTGGGCGCATGCACTCGTCGCCATGAGAAATCTCTCCTGCGATTCCAGCCGATACTGACATGACAGTGGATTTATGTCCACTCATCGCCACTGTTGAGCTCAGCCCCTGAATGGTCATGTTACCAAGATGCATGTTATTCAGCTGATTTCCAGCTGGGACGAGTGACTGGGAGAGCTCCCGCAATGGAAGTAGGACAGTGTACGTCAATGTATGATGTTCTGTGCCACACGAGTGACCAGAGAGCATCCAAGGGGTATCCCAGGTCCTTGTGCGGTGTCATTCATGTACCGTAGTACATTCAAGCCTTCCGCACAGTAACGCAACGTTTGGCCTTTTCTGCGGAGAAAACAAAAAAATGAATAACGCTCTTCTAACAAAGATTTTGCAGAGCAACGTAAGAACTCGAACTAGCACTATCAAAAAAAGCGGAGCAAAAAAGCGTAGCGGTAAAATTTTCGATGCAAAATGGTTAAATGTAATATGATATTGTTACAGCTGGAACTGATTGAGTGTTATTAATAACTGAATGTATGAAAAGGTGATGAAGAGTTAGGAATTGCATTAAGGATGTTGATGAACGAACTGAATATAAAAGATAGGACACTTGTTGTCCGTTTGCCTCGGCTGTAAACCGCTGCCGTGGACTCGAGCGTGCAGTTCCCGTTCAGGGATCGCCACCCCTCGACCCTGCCTGCCTTCGTCAATACAACCTTGGGCGACCCTCAGGTCGCCAGGCAACATGCCTCGATGTGTCAAATACCGCATGTTGGCAAACCTAATGAAATCGCATACCTTACGAACATATACGCCTCGCCTCCACCGCCAATCTGCTTTCTCCATACTGGCATCTTTTGCATGGGGCAGCAACTTCTTACCCGGCCATATGCTGGTCGATGTGCCTTTTACGCACATTCATATTACATACCCTATTCATCACAGGACGATAAACTGGCTTGTATTATGCGCAATTCTCGACGCAATTCTATGCGATCGGGTTGTTGCACATATTTCTAGCCATTTGACCCAAATCGTCAAGGCTTATACTGTGCTTCTGCCTGCCACTTTGAAACATTTCATATGACCATATAGATGACTATCGTTAATGCGACAGTGGCATCACAACTGGCAGCGCGAAAGCGATCTACCCCACTTTGTGTTTTAGTACGATGCTATATGTCCATCAAAAGCAACTGTCGCTGAGTCGCCTGCCGTAGATATGCTTCCGGGGTGCATGCATCGTCATGGGAAACGGTGCATTAGACTGATGGATTTTCAGTTGCAGCCAGTTCTGACACGGTGCTGGTCTTTTCTTCGACATCAAGCTGCAAAGCTCATTAACTTTCCAACCATACCTCTAGTAGCAGCTGCAATCCATTACATTGCAGCTTCCCAGCGTTGCTCTCTGTGTTCTGTGCTGCGTACCCCTCACATGACAGGTACGGTACATTTCTAAACCCTTCCACATCGGAAAAGTTTACCGTTGCGCTTTTTGCTCCGCATTTTGCTTCTTGGAGCGTTACTTTGATTACTTTTACGTTGCTCCGCCAAAAAGATTATTAAAAGAGCTGTTTGTTTGCGTGAGCCACCCATTTTACGATAACGGAGCAGAAACGCGTCTTCGTCGAAAGTTGGCAATGATTCGGTCCTCAAGAATCCAGCACCCTGCCCTACGTCAACATGGATCGTACACAAGCACGATCGCTCAGCGCGCATGCCCTTGGGAATTTTTACATATCCGCACAGCACCATTGCGTTGCGATGCTTTTGGTGCTTTCTGGCGTGCAATGCGGCCGTGATTCACAACATCATGCGCCTCTACGGAACAGAAATCGTATATGGCTGCGCGTCGACCTTGTCACAGGTCACGCAGCGCTTTTTTCCAACGCGTTTTGGCAATGATGCGCTTTTCAGCGACCCGCGCGGCCTGTTCGGGCAGCTGCACAGCCGCCTCTTTGGTTTCAACCAGAGCGGGCGGCAGGAAAACCACCAGGCGCAGGGGATGCGTGCGGCATGCAGCGAGGTGCCACTCCAGGGACGGGAGACACGATTAAGATCGGAAAGCTGTGCTCTGAGGCCTTCACAAGGCAACCATACAAGTGCAGCCGTTGGCGTACGCCCAGAATGTCTGCCACCCCAACGAGTTCCCACACCAATCCCCACATCCAATCGCCCCACACGGCACCCAACAGCAACTAACACAGCGTGTTGGTGTATTGGTGTATTGGTATCCTGACCCACTAAGGACAAGAGCATAATTGCGACGTGACTATTTGGGATAGGCGTTATTGACATTCTCTAGAGTTGTGATTGGTAATCTATACAAATAGACCTTTGGTAACCATATTTAAAGCTTCTTCATGCCCCCAAGCTTCTGAAACACTCAATTCATTACAAATTGGCAAAGTTATTATAACCCTGTAAAGTTGTAATACATAGAGCTTTCGATGAAGGGGCTAGTACTGAACGCATGGTGTAAATAGGTGATACGCCATATGGGTATAAAAACCCATTAAGGCATTATGTATTATATTGATTTCCATTATTGGAACTCTAGTTTACTAGGAACCGTCCCCTTGTCACTGGTCTAGGGTGACCGGCTTCCCTAGACTATGTATGTAGTCTCAAGCCATGTAAGTACTAGAACATATAAATATATATAGTATACCATCTTGTAACGGGTGGTCTGGCTTGAGTCATGGTGACTCACGTACCATGGCGAGGTTGGTCCATGGCCTTGGTGAGAAGGCGCCCACCGCATTAGTCATATATCAATAGGTCGGTCGTGGATCAATGGTGGATGATTGCGATGTGCCTGGATGCGCACTTATCTTGTCTTGTCATGATGTGATTGCTATAGACCCGCGATCAGACATCGCGCATGCGATATGTGTGTGCACATACTGTGAATTTATGTAACACTCTTCAGCCCATTCCCTGGCTTCCTGCGAGCCAATGAACCACTGCACATTGTGCCACCACCTCTTGCCAATAGCAGGCCCCCTACATCGATCCCCATCGAGCATTGAGCCCACCGCACGATCAACGAATCCTCTGCCCTGGATACGCCCAATGTCCATGTGGAGAGGCCAGCCAAACCACCAACGGCTGTGCTGCAGGACAGGTGACCCCAACGCCTCTAGAGACCAGTGGTTGCCAGATGGGCTGCAATAATAATAAATGGTTTCAGAGCCAGCTCCTCCCGAGGCATGAAGTACGCGAAGTAAAATACTACGATGGCCCTTCTAGGGAGGGCAAGTAGTGTTACGATCTAGTCTTCACAACCTAATGTTGGTAGCCAAGTAAGGCAAAAAAGGTATAAATACATATGGGACAATTCAATTATGAGGGTGTTGACAAGATGTTGCGGCGAGCGTTGCAACCGGTCCATTTTGTCAAGTTCAAAACTTACCTACAACATTTGGTATTGCCAGTGGTTTTTCTAAGAAAAACCTAAAGTACTAATTAGTATTCTAACTGCTATGACTTTTAGATGTTGTTTGCATTTACTAGGTCATAATAGATTGTTGGGGTACAAATCCTTAGGTTGGAGTGGGTTAGTAAATTTTCTCTCGGATCCTTGGGGATATTGAGACAGTCTATATTACTTCGGTGTTTGGTAGTTTGTATTGCCTTAGGGATGTTCTCAATGTACTCAAGATTATTGGGGTTCGCATTCATGTGCTTTCTTGAAGAGTAACTACGCCCACTGAACAAATGGAACAATTAATTATTCTGGAATTGATATAACATTGTACTGCTTGTATGCAATCTGCTTGTAGAGTCAATCCCGCCTCGCTCACCCGCTGCACATGTCCTGGGCACACGCCCCGTGGTGCCACCCCCTCGGGTGCCCGCAGGGTGGTGCAACACTAACCCATTAAAGACAAGAGTGTAATAATCGCTGTGCCTAAGCTCTTGCAGCTCAGGAACACCCAGAATCGTCTTTAAGCTGATCAATTTGGGGAACTGATCAGTGATATCAATCTATTGAGAGCACAGAGCGAACTCCTCTGTTTAGCTCCTGCCTCCCTCATCTTTCCTGGTGAAACCAACTCCAAAGGCATTGCAGCCTCAATATTTTTAAGGAGTGTTGTCACTTCTTGTTTCTGTACTTTTTGTTGTTTCTCTATCATCAGTAGTGGCGACTCACTCAGGCCATCCCATGCAGTGTGTATTGCACATATGGTCGACACCCGTAGTGAGCCAATTACATAAGTCACGCAGTGAAGCAATGCTCATTATGGGGGTTCATTGAACAGAACATTATTTACTTCAAGTATTTTATTGTTTTCTCTGCAGAGAAAAGGCCAAGCGTTATGTTACTATGTAGAAAGATTTAAAAACCTACAGTAGCATTCCTTGGCTCAAGAAGATATGGTTCAGTGGGGCAGTTGCCACCTGCGCTTGCACCCCCGCGCCCAAGACACAACGCCATGACTTGCAGCATTGGCGCACATCTCCAAGAAACAAAGAATTCCATCTGTCATGCAGGTAAAACGTTGTCGTTTGTTATGACAATCCTCGCATGGGACCTCAAGGAACTCTGCTGGAAGTCCAACAATGCTTGAGGGCAATACTTGGGCGAGTGGACTTGGAGATCCACAAGAGGCGGCTCCTCTCTTTTCTGTTTGCTTCTCTCCTTTCCCCCTTTGCCACACATAAGCCCACACCAAAAGGGCAGGGGAGTTTTTTTTTAAGGGGGGGGTTAGCATCTGTTGGATGTTCGCTATGCATTTAAGATTCAAAACAGTGACTTATCATGTGGTGGCCTGAATAGATCCTTGATTGCCCTGCTATGCTGATGGAAGAAGGGGTGATAACTGGAATAGGGACAAGGAGGCGGCACCCATGCATCGATGTGATATTGTGTTATTACATGGCATCCTCCTCCAGAAGTGAGTTCATGCACTTCATAGAAGAGAACATTCTTGGATGCACTAATATATGCACCTGTCGTCCCCTGCAAGCTGCAGGGGCACTGGTTCACTATCGAAGGTAATCCTATACAAAGAATTTCAGCACTTCACACGAAGGGCGATGCTCACTACGAGTTGACGCTCGGGGAAAAACTGCTGCGAGGAATGGGTGTGCATGGATGGACAATCCAGCCAACAGAGTCTGTCAGAGTGCTCATTAGGCGCCTTGCGGCGCCATGAAAAGCTTGTACATCACGGCAATCACATCAACTCATGCGCTACATATTCCCCAGCACAGCATGCCCACCAGACGAAAAGACCATGTATCCGCTTGATCCACACGGGAATGTGCGGAATCTCATCGCAATGCACATCACGCCAACACGGACCAAAGCCTTTTACACTTTTGTACACCAGAACGAGCACCAGCAACAGGTTTTCTCTCTCCCATCTTCAACAGGTTGTTCTTCTGCATGCGACAGCTGTTGTAATTTACATGGGCGCGAACTTGGTGTTGTATTGAACCTGGAAGCCGTTGTTGTTGAAGGGGTCGGCAATGTGCTCCGCCCAGCACTCCACGGGGCCCTTGCCGGTGACGATAGCCTGGACGTAGAAGCCAAACATGGCGAACATGGCCAGCCGCCCATTCTTGATTTCCTTCACCTGGAGCAAGGAGGATGAACATAAGCACTCGGCGAGTCCCTGAACGATATCAACTGGTCAAGGTGAATGGCAACTACTTTGCTCACATTCTTGGCAAAATAATTGATTTCAGAACTTGATCTTAACAATTCGAATTAATCAATCTCGCAGCCGCAATTCTGCGAGCAATGGTGAATATTTTTCAAGATTCTGGGCCTTCAATCATAGAAACTGCTAAGCCAATCGATAGACCGATTCAGTGATTCAAACAAGCTGACTTTCAATCAGCGATTCAACTTGAGCTCCTTTTCAAGTACATGCACCCATCATAGGCAAGACTGTTTATGATTATGAGCTCGTTTCAGTGGACTGCAATGTAGCTTTTACAACTGAATCGATGACTTTGATATCGATGCAGGTTTTGACCTCCGCCAGGATTGGCAATTCACCTTGAGCTCAGCGAAGGTGGTTGGGTCGTCGGCGAAGCCCAGAGGGTCAAACTGGCCGCCAGGGTAAAGCTCGTCCGTGACGGGGCCCAGGGGTCCACCGTTGACACGGTAAGCCTCAGCTCCACCCATCAGGATGCACTGGGGAGAACAGAGTCGCGCTTCAGCAAACAGCCCACACACAATCGACCCACACAAGTTTTGGGCGCATTACCACTGTGCCCAGCTTCATGGCAGAGATGTCCAAACTCCCTTTTTCATACACATTAGTGACACACGCACCTGGATTGCCAAAATGGCGAGGATAGACTGAGCATGCACGAAGTTCGCATTGCCGAGGTAGTCCAGACCTCCGTCAGAGAAAATCTGGGCGCCAGCCTTGAACCATGTTGCCTCGCCAAACTCGACGTTTCCATACTTGGACAGGATCTCGGGCGTGAGGCAGCCGACGGTGCCAAGCATTGCCCAGCGGGCATGGATGAGCTCAGCCTCACGGTACTTCTTGAAGGTCTCAGGATCGGCAGAGAGGCCAGCAGAGTCCCAGCCATAGTCACCAGGGAACTCACCCCTCAGGTAGCTGGGGCAGTCGCCCTCAGAGAAGGGCCCTGCAGAAAATTCGTCGAGGTAAATAACAACACGATTGTGCCTGGCCACCACATTCAGCTTTAAAAATTTGGGACTGTGCCTGTTCAGCCAAATTTATCCCTCCCCCTTCCCCCCTTCTGTCTCATCACTTTGTAACACCATCATCTCCCCCTCACCTGCCCTTGTGCTTTCTTGCCTTTTCCCTACATGACTCTACATGATCTCATTGCATGCCGTTGCTTAGGAGGGGTGCCATTCCCCTGCCAAGAGGGGCTTTCTCTTCCTCTTTGTAACAAATCTACCAACACCAGACACAACGTTCTTCCCCCTATAAAGACAACGAAAGCTTGTTCCTAAAAATGGCGGCATATGGTGCTCACCAGCTTCTAAACTGCGGCATCTGGGCATGAAGGAAGCTACGGCAGAAATAGGTAACAAGAGGGCTGCAGTTATCCCCAAGAAAGGGCACTGCAGGGGTCATGTCAGCTGCAACATTCAGTGTCCAGGCTGGGCATATCGGTTTATGCTTTGTGGTTGCTTTGCAAGGCTGTGCCACTCTACTCGTGTGTTTGGCGTGTACTGACTGGTTTGCCAGGCACTGCATTGGGCAAGCTTTCTGGACCAACATGGTTCCTCCAAAGGTGCAGCATCAGAATGCTGTCTTCAAGTGACAACCAGTCACCTTGAGTGCTCTGATCAGCAGTTGTTTATCAAAACCTTGCAGCCAGATGAGAACTGCCCTTCCTCAACCAACAACCATGCCATAGTGGAATGAAAGGCATCCATAACAGGACACACAAGTCCAACCGACTGGGCAGGCAAGTCACAGACCTAACACTGAATGGCACCCAACCGATATAGGATGGCCAGCATGCGGGATGGGCGTTCATCGAGCACTGAAATCCACACATTTTGAGTTCCGATACACATGCCACAAGCCAACGCGACCGACACTGTTCACAATGCAGGGAAGAACAACGGAAGGAACAGAAAACACGGAGTGACCGAGAAACGAAACTTTTTGGCGTCCATCTCGACGCTGGAGGTCACTACCCCAGTTGCTGATTGGCAAAGATCGGCGCATTGGCAGCGGGCGGTCCATGCGGTCAATGCCGTCGCAGAGGGCGTGAACTCACCGAGCCACTTGGCGCGGTTGGGACCGTACCACTCGATGGCAGCCCGGGTCACCTGGCGGCTGCCCTGCGAACACAGCCGCGACAACCCGCGGGCTATCAGAGCCTCAGCATCCACGGAGTCCACCAGAGACCCCCGAAACGCAAGACGTCACGCAAATGCAGCGAAGGCGGGCGCACAGTGGCCGCAGACGCCCGCGACGCAACGTCCACTCAGATTGCTCCAGTTCGCATTCTTGCAGCGCTTCCGCCGAGGTCGCGTGGCCGCCGTCATTCCGCTTGTGGCCGGCGCAAGTTTGGCGCGTGGCGTGGCGCGCGTGGCGCGTGGCGTGCAGCATCGGGTGGCGCCGATCGATCGGATCCCTTTCCCACGGCGCACGACAAGTTGGGCGGCCTGTCGGGGATGAAAGGGCTGCGGAATTCTGAACAGCGCCGCTCTCGGGATCCAAGTCTCGTCCAGAGGTTCGCACGGCCAGGTCGTCCGTATCCGACGAACGACGCCTGAGATGCCCACAGCCCATATCCAACACGCACTCAGATCTGATAAAGTTTTCTCGGCATGCCAGCCAAGCACTACCGCGAGCGCGGATACCCGAACCCAGGCAACAAACTGACGACCGTTGCCCCTTCCCACACCGTTGTCGCCCCCCCTCCACCACACCCAAAAGCCTACACCCACCCCACCGCCCAATTTCAACGCCGGCGACGCGCCCCTGATTCCCCACCACAACTCCCCACACATATTGCCCGCCGTGTGGAAACCAGAGTTGTGTAGTTCCCCTGCCACGGTGGCGTGTCGCCCATCCGTGCCCGGGAGCCGCAGTGCGTGAGTGTATAGCGGGGCTCACCTTCCCCTTGGCGGACACCTGCGCCACCTGCGACCCCAGGAAGGTCTTGGACATCAGGGAGGACGCCATGGCGAGGCGACGGGAGGCGGCAGCGCGGGGGAGGCGGTTGAAAGGCTGTGGGACGCAGGGGTTGGGAGGCGCAGACCCCGGGGAGTGGGCCTGTTGGCTTTAGGGAGGGGGTGAGATCTGCCAAGATCGGTATTTTGGCAGCCCGATTTCGCCCGACGTTGTCCTTTTCTATGCCGCATGACGGGCCGACGGACTGGAACGGGGTGTCGTCATCTCGCTGCTGGCCGAAACCAGTTTGGTGTGTTAGCGCCTCATTGCCCGAGAAGGCAGTTGTTGCAGTAAGGAACGGCATGAAATTAGTCGCTCTGTCTTTACGCGAAGACCCCTTCTTCTTCCGACACCCCAGAACTTAAATCAATGACCCACTCACTCACGTTGGCCTTGTCAACGGAAGA